AATGAATAATAAATTTTTTATAAGTATTTTAAACAAAATTTTAAATATTATTAATTTACGTTAAAAATTAATAGATAGTTATATAATTTTTTTATTTTTTTCAAAATTTTTATAACAACTTTTTTTGTATTTTTTGAAAAATGGCGGTTAATTAAGATAATGTGCAATAATTTGTTAAAAGAAGGCCCTGAAAAAATATCGCGCGCATTCGCCATATTTTGCGGTCTGGAAAGTTAACAGGTAGAGTGTTAGTGAAAAATTAAATTTTTTAATATAATTTATTTAAAAGTTTTACAATTTAAAAACAAATGGTGTTAATTAAGTGTTTAGTGATGAAAAAACATCGGCAAAGGTAAGTTTTTTTAAATTTTATTGTCATAATTAGTTATTCACCAAACTTGAATAATCCCAAATAAAAATCTATATTAATTAATTTAAATTTTAACATAAAAACTAATTCACATTACATAACGTTTTATTTTATTAAACGTTCAATTATTAACTTATTACTACTCTATAATTACTAATTATTTAATTTATTATTTTCACATTATAAACTAAAATGACTTACATGACTTACATAATCTTATTATTAACATTATCATTATTAAATTATTTTGGCACAAGAATTCACAGTTTATCATCATTATTAATTAATTATTTAAAATAAAATTTAAAAAAATAAAGAATAATTTTTTTTTTTATTAACTTCTAAAGAGTCTAATAATAATTACATGTTATAGCTAAAAAAATTTAATTTACTTTTATTTAATTGAATACACTATACAGTCATTTTATAATAGTCTTAATAGTAACTCTATAAGCTAAGAATTTTTTTTTTTTTGCATTTAGTTTCTTCGACTAAACTTATAATACATTTTTGTCTATTTTATGATTATTAGTTTATTACAAAAACAAATCCGACAAAAAAACTAACTATTCAAAACTAAATTATTAAATACATTTAAATCAATTGAAATACTAAATTAAAGAAGACATGTGAGTAATTATTTCACATTTTTTTTAAACTTTAGTTTGTATCGAATACAATTTATTCAAAATGGTTTTTCAATCGTAGACTACTAAATTATTACATAGTTAGTTTCATCATATTACTAAATTATTACTAAATTAATAAGAGATGACTAGTGAATTCAAATGACTAGATTATATAGATAAAAATATTTTGAGTATTTTTTTTTTCTTCTGGTACTGGTTTAATAAAAAGCGAAGAAGCTTTTATTTAAATTAATTATAAATAAATTCATGATACTTAAATATAAATAACTCTAATGTAATTATCATTATTATTGTTAGTTACTTCAAATGAAGCTTATTTAAGAAAAAAAAAAAAAACTAAAATCAAACTTTAAATTATGTGCTTATTACTAACTATTATTAGTAACGATTAATTAGATTATGTATATATTTTTTTTTTCATTTAACTAATCAGCAGTCTTACTTAACAATTATTTATATATTCATTTCATTCACATGTGCTTCATTTTTATTATTATCATTATTATTATTATTTTAAATGCTTATTAGTTTTGTAATGTTTATAATGAGATTTATTCCAACTTTTTGATAACTTGAGGTTTTTTTTTATATCTTGTAAAATAAATAGAAGCAACCATTTGATGAAATCCATTACTAACAAATGGTAAAATAAAAAAAAGTAATGAATGTACTAATATCCAAATTTGAACGTAGAAATTAAATAATAATCCATATATGGTAAAAAACGTTAATATCATCCAAAACCCTAAAACAATGCTTAATAAATGACTCGGTCTATAGTTGGGAGTTTTATATGGGTTATTCCAATTATGAGAATTTTTCATTTTATTATTATCCTCATCCTCATCATCATCATCATCATCATCAGCATCAGCATTTTCATTTATTATTGATTTTTCATTTGATGACGTGTATTGTAATGAATTCAATTCAAATTCGTGGGATGATTTTTCGTGTGACGTTTCACCGTTAATTTTTATTTGAAAATTTATATTTTCATAACTATCCTCTTTTAATTTTTCCGTTGGAAAATGTTTGACGGTGTAAAAATTTTGTAATAACATTTCTTTTCCTTTCCATATACTCCTCAACCATTTTTTTAAATCTTTTTCTTGGTGAGGTAGTATTCTTGAACTGTATCTAAATAATAATAAAAAAAATTTTAAAAAAATTTTATAATCGTAACACTCGTTATGGTATTATATAAAATACCTACCTTTTCACGTGCAAATGTACTTCTTCCGGAAACTTTCCTTTTATAAGATCCCTTTCTGATATAGGTATAGTTTTTGGATACCCGATTGTGATGTCATAAATTGCTTTTAACTGACCCCCTGAAAACGTTTAAATGTTTTTTTATCATTATTTACGTAATTCTTATCAAACTGGCTTAATCCTCCTTCTTTTTTCAAAAAATATCCTAAGGCATGATTCTTGAACCATTTTATTATTATGTAATAAAATAATTACGTAATAATTAAATAAATTTTTTTTTTTTTTTGTAGTTAGGACGATGAGATTTTTTACAAATTGTTTTAATTTTTTTTTATAAATATAAATTATATTATTTTATAGAGGCGTTTATAATATTCATTCATTTATTAATTTTTTTTTTTTTTTTTTGAATTGAATGAAAAAATTATTATTATTATTTTTTTTTAACATAAATTTATTTTATGTTATTCCTCTTATATTAAAAAAATTTTATGGCGGCCGAGACATATAATTTTTTACGTAACACAAAAAAAAAATTATATTACATATTACACGGTTTTTTATAATAATTTCTATTAATTATCATTATCATTATCATTATTATTATTATTGTTTTTTTTTTTTTTCGGTTTTACCTGTTTTCATTTTTTGTACGATAAAAGCAAATCCGCTTGTTTTAGGATGTAAAACTTTATAATATCTTTCATAATTTTTTTCATCTGCGTATTTATGACTTTTTCTTATTGTATCTTCTGTTAAATCCGTTCCTTCGGGAAATATAAGTACCTTAAAAAAAAAACTTTTCACATTTAATAAAACCCTAGTATTATTATTATTATTATTATTATAAATAATTTATTAAATTCTCCAACCTGATATAATTGATCCGAATTATTTAAATAATTAATCATTTGATTTATTAAAAATTTATCTCTCGACCAATTTCTATGTACGAATATAAACGAACAAGTTTGCATAACCCAACCTAAAATAATAATAATAATAATAACATATATAATGACGTCACACGTAATTTTTTTTTGCTCGTAAAAATAAATACGATTATTATTATTATTAGTATTGCAAGGGTGTTTAGTAATAAATAAATTACCCGGTCCAGGTAAATGCATGAGAGATGATTTTAATACGTATTTAACGTTATGAGCGTTAGGTTGGCAACAATGAAATAAAGCCAACCATAAGAAACCCCAATCGACTCTTGTTCTGTGATTCATAATTAATACTGAACTTTCGTACGGATTTATTTTATCACCGGTTAAATAAATACGAGTACCGAAAAATATTTCCAACATGGCCTAAAAAAAAAGAAAAATTTCTTTCTTCAAAATTACATAAATGTGAATTTGACGGGTGGGGGGGAGGGGGGTAGGGGAAGAGAAAATAAATTACTCACTGCGGTAAATGGTTCCCACATGCCGAAAACTTTATCGCTTAATTTTCTATATTTTTTAGGTGATATAATTGCCAATGGTAGTATAGGGCAAATCAATGTAAAAAATCCGGCTAAAACGCTCACGTACCAAATGATAACAAATAATAAACCGATAATTCTATCTTTCATGTTTATTTTTATTTTTTTCACCATTTTGAAATTATTAAGCGCCTTTTTTGTTTTTTGTCGGTACAACATGGTGGTTGTTGTTGTTATTATTATTATTATTACATTTTCGATTGATTAATAACAATAATAATTTATTATCAAGTTTCATTCTTTTTTTTCTTCTCTCTCACTCAATTAGTATTATTATTATTGAAATTTATTATTCTTTTCTGAAACAGAAAAAATATTGATTATTGATAATTTTCTTTATTATTATATTTAAAATTAAACGGCCGCCATTTTTTTTTTTTTTTTTTACTTTAAAAAATTAATAATCTCACTGGCAAAGGTAAATAAAATTAAAAATAGACGAAAAAAAAAAAATTTTTTTTTTTTTTACTCGAACTTGTGTTAAATATTAAGAAAAAGTTTAAAAATAACTTTTTTTTTTTATCCCATAAATGTTTATTATTATTTTTTTTTTAAACAAATAGTTTACGAGACGTAAATAAACAAAAAATAATAATAATAATAATTTTAACGCGTTTCTTGTGATGAAACGAAAAAAAAAAAACATTTATTTAAATAATAATAATAATAATAATAAATAAGTTGATGAATAGAATTTTTTTTTTTTGTTAATGTACTTACTTGCATTTTTAAGATACGATCGTTTTCGTTATTTTTAATTTTCAATCTCTTTTTCGTCGTCAGACATTTTGTTTTTTTGTTTTTTTTTTTTTTTGAACTTGTAAATTTGTCAGAAAAAAATAATTCTTTAACACTTTTTAAATTAAATTTTACTTTTTTAAATATTTAAAAAAAAAAAAAAAAAAAAAAAAACTTTTAAACCGCCGGTTTATAATAAATAAAATAAAACTAAAAAACGATTCGAAACTGAGAATGTATAAACGATATTAGGGAAACAGATCGATAGAGCAGCATCTTTGGTCCATGAATGCAACCCTTCGTTTTATTTTAAACGTCTCATCCCTCTCGTTAAATATTTTTCTAGAATTTTTTTTTTTTCTTTTCTGCGCATCGTTAGGGATTTTGTCCTCAATTTGTTTGCTCTCATTTTTAATATTTAATTTAATTTTAATTATTTGTCGTTAATAAATCCATTTAATATTTATACGGTTTCGTTTAAAATGAGTTTATACGTATTCTTGTAATTGGTTTAAATGAAAAATCGTTTTTTTTTTTTTTTAAATTATTATTATTATTATTTTCACTTACAATCTATTAATATAATAGTAACTATTTGATTTATTACAATTATTATTGAAATAGTTTTAATAATAATGATTTTTTTTTTTTTCGAATTTTTAACGAATTTTATTTTGAGCAAAAATTTTTTTTTTGTTTTTATTATTAAAAACTAATTTGTTAATTAAATAAAATAACTTACTTTATTTATTTATTATATTTTTTAATCTTTATCGCGTTTAATAATTAAAAATATGTTTTTTTTTCCCGGTCGAAAATGAATTACTTAATTTCGAATTCGAAAAATAAAACCGTTACGTTTTCAAAATTCAAAAAAAAATAGAAAACTGAATTTTATATAGTTAATAAATTTTCCGTTAGAGTACGCTACCGTTAACGTAAACAAAAAATCCCTCCTTTTGGCAAATGAAAGACATAAAAAATTAATTTTTGGGGGGCCCTAAAAAAAAAAAGATTTTACATAAGCGGTATTAAAATGGACGTTTTTTAAATTAACGTTCGAAATAACGAATAATGAAAAAAATTTTTTTTAAAATTCATTTCAATTATTCAGGAACATAAATAGATTATTGTTTATTACGTAAAAAAAAAAAAAAATCAAATCAATAATAAAAAAAAAAATAGTTAAAAAGTTTCTACACACACAATATTTTTACATAACCACCATAACACTTTTAAAAAAAAAATTATTCATTATTATAAATTAAATA